GTAAGTGGACTGGAAATCCCTGCAGTAAAGGAATGTCTCCACATAGCCATTTTCCTATCTGCATAAACACTTTGCCATACATACTCATTTCTCTCTGTAAAGTAGACGTTAGTGGGATTATTGTGGAATCCTATTGATAAACAATTTTACCAAGGATCCTATGTTACATTTAAGATATAATTACAGCGTTAATCACACAATAAATAGTAATACTGACCCACATTGAATCCAATTTATGACACGATAATATAGCAAACGGGCCACAAAGATATTCCACATATAATGTGTGACATCTCTGTGACTCATTTATATCACACTTTAAATTGAACATCTAGCATGTCTGGGTGGACCCATGACAGATCCCAGTATTCAGCCAAGTTTTACATCTGACATGGAATTGCCTCAGGGATTGGGGGACAGTTTCCTGAACCAAACACCAGGGAGCATCTCACTGATTTCAGGATCATAGTGCCCCAGACCTTTAAAAAAAAAAAATGTGAATGATCAGCTGGGAGTCCTAGCTGTACATCAGTTTTTCTAAGTTCCCAGGGCACCTGTTGAAGCAGCTGAGGATAGCAGCTGGGACCAGGGGACAGTAGAGAAACAGTCTCTGGGTCCTGGCACCCGGAGAGCTTTGCTGGGGCAGCCATACTCTTTAAAGCTGCCCGGGTGCGAGGATCCAGACGCTGTGGAGCAGTCCAACTGTAGGCACTCTCTTTAAAGCTCCCTGGGCACCAGGACCCAGAGACCATGGAATCTTCTCCCCCTCCCTTTACCAATGTGAAAGCAGAGATGGGGAGTGAGGAGTCGGGAAGTCCCTGCTCCCCCACTGTCGTTTCTTTGGATGTCCAGTTCTCATCTGCAACCCATTTTAAAAGTGCAGGGTGCTGCGAACCCAACACTGCAGAGAGGCTCTAGTGATTTCAGCTGAGTTTTATCGAGCATAACTCAGCAAAAAAATTTCAGGTTTAATTAAACTAGAAGTGTGTATAATTTTCATTTTGTATCTTTCCCTTAAAAGTGATTTTCAATCAGTTGTATCATTCCAAGCTAAAATAGATTTGAGAGTTGAAATTAAAAAAAGAAATTCTTCCATCAGCAATTTTGCACTTTGGAAATTCTTTCCCCAGAGGCATGGTACTTTTGAGGTAACATTTAAGTATAAAACATAAAAGAACAATATTGGAATTGGAGTCTAGATCTCATTGGTAATTGTCATTCTTAATAGTTTTAATATCTCTTAAGAAGATTCATGCTTCCCAATGGATTTTATCTAACAAAGCTGACAATGTTTTTACTGCTGAATGGTAGTTAACATAATGATACATTTGAACCCTACTGAAAACCCTTGTATTAAATGTGTTGCCTCTCCAGATGTAACTCATTTAGTCATAGTATATTATTCTTTATATAGTCCTTTATGGTGCATATGTTATCTTGCTTGATTCCCAGTCACTCATAAGGTTATATTACAAATCTTACATTTACATAACGGCCCAGATTTTTGGATGATGGAAATTTTGTATAAGGCCATATATAAATATGATTTTTTTTTAAACTGTAAATCAATCAAAGCTTTTTAGTAGCACTGTATATATTAGTCTCCCAGTTTATTTTTTCCTTTAGGATTTCCATAATAATTCACAACATAGTAATCCTACACTTACCTTTTATAGTAAAAGGCATGTCAAAGTGTATTATCTTTTATCTTTTAGTCATTATATTTCAAAATGAAGTGTTAGTTCTGATTAGTTTCAATTTTTAAAATTAATTATGTTTTTGCATATTGGCCATACCTATTAATAGATATCTGCTGTGTATTGAAACCTTAGATGTATTTTTTTACATCCTTTTATTTTATACAAATTATAATGCTGCATGTATATTATTAAGGACAACCTAGACACATGGGGCATATCCAGACGAACCCGCACGTGCTTCTTGTGGTGTCTCAAAGTAGTTTGAGATGCCACAAGAGGCACACTGGGAACAAAAACACCGTTGCTCGCACTGCATATCTGCAGCACTGGCTCTAAATTTGATACCTGGAAATCCATGTGTTTAAAAAAAAAAAAAAAAACACAGAAAAAAAGCAGGGTAGGGCATGGTCTAGGACTGTGCCCTGAGGCAAACCAGTGATGGGTCCTCCAGAGACACTCTGGTATCCAGCCAGAGCATCTCTGCAGTACTTCTGTTGCCCCAGCATGCACCCTTTGTGAGCGGGGCAAACAGGCACTGTCCCAGGTAAGCAGGGATGGGGGAGCTGTGTAGTTTCTGAGGAGGGTTGTGGGTGTGGGGAGTGGCGGGGAGTGTATGGAGATGGTGTGGGGGTAGGTTTGTGGGGGGCCACCACATGCCCATCCTTCCCACCCCCTGCAGTACCAGCTGGGCTGTGCTGGCGACAGCACTGCTGGAAATGTGGTCTGTGTGGGGAGAATAGTCCTGGCAGGAACCGACCCAGCACAGCACGGCCCGCTAGCGCACCTTTGGACAAGCCTGGGACGTGCGGCTCCTGTCCAAAGGTGAGTGCTAGCTGGGTGAGTCAGGTCAGGTCAGGTTGTATTGGACTGGGCCAGGCTGGGCCTGTTCTCCATGACGGTCAGGCGGCGATGCACCATAGCCCATTGTAGGCACAGCCGTGCGGTTGTGTATTACCATCTGACCTTCATGGAGAACAGGCCCAAAGGGACCCGGCCTGGCCTGCCCAGCTAGTGCGCACCTTTGGACAAGAGCCACACGTCCCAGAACCACACATCCCAGTCTTGTCCACATGTGTGTTAGTGGGCCGTGCCAGGCCAGGTTGGGTCTGGCCAGTCTCGTTCTCCCTGTACAGACTGTGGGTCTGGCAGTGTTGGCGCCAGCACAGCCCGGCTGGCGCTGTGGGGAGGGGGTGGCAGCCCCCCTTGCAAACTCCACATCCCACCCACACCCTCCAAGCTCCTCCTGCAAGCCCTACACCACCTCCACACTCACCCACAACCCTCCTGCAAAGTGAAGAGGTCAGGGGGAGCTCTAACTTCCCTATGGTAAGAAAGCCAAAAGCAAACATCAAAGCATATAGATATTTAGAATTTATTTTATTATGATGATAGAGACATTGGTAGGCTTCCAAATCACTTTAAGATTGTAAATATATCAATAAAACATTGCCCAAATGATCGATCTCTCTCTCTCTCTCTCTCTCTCTCTATATATATATATATATACACATACAGATATAGCTATACACCCCCCCACACACACACCCACACCAACACCCACACATAGTGGTGCTGTCCCAGGCTGTAACTCCCCCTGGCTGCAGAGCTGGGCAGGGTCATTTTGCCCCAAGTGGCACAACTTGCCCCGTAGCAAAGTGCATGTCTAGGCACATGTGCTGAGGCAAAAATCCCCAGCACAAATTTGTGCTGCTCCTATTTGAGCTGTTGCAAGTGTGTCCACATCATGTGGACACACCCATGATGTGTGTGTAAGTTGAATTAGTTGTGTATACTGATATACGTTATACCAGTGTCCAGCAGAATCATCTTTCTGCTGCTGCCACTGTCTTTTTGCTTTGAACAAATAGCAGTCCACACACAGAAGTGGATGCACAATACCCAGACTTGTGTTAGCTTAAAATAATATAGCTTTAGCGCTGATTTATTTTTTCCTGGAGTAACTCTAAACAAGATTCTAGTGAGCTATAGCATTACAGAGTTATACATTATATTTTTCTCCTCATTGTTTACATCGTTGTGAAGGTGGGTTACACAAAGGGTGCAGACAGAAGTGCAGCTCCCAGCTGTAACTCAGAATCTTTTCTACAAAGCATTCTGAGTTACATCCTTATCCCAGACCAAACAGAAGTTCACTGTTGGTTCCAGGGAGGAGGGGAATCCTAGCTGAGGGCTGGAAGTCTGCAGCCAGATTCCCATAGCAACAGCCATGGGCTCTCTACCAGTGCTTGCTGTTTTCAGAATGGGAGAAGGGAAAGGAAGGGGATGGAGCTCATTCTTGGGGCTCCCCAGCTGGTGCTGAATGGTGGGGTGGGTGAACTGAAACACTTCCACCTCAGGGGGCTCCAATACACCTGCCCCACCCTCCAGGGGGCAGGCTGAAAAACTCCTAGACTGAACTCTCTCCACTCCCTTTCCCCCCTCCCATTCTGAAAACAGCAACAGGCTGGGAGGCAGCACAGACACACGTTACAGAAGATGCTACATTTTGAAAAGTCTTTATCTGATACCTCATGCAACGAGGGGCCAGATTTTCACCCAATAGGCTATTTTTTATGCTGTCTGCTGCTGTGCACTTGTTTGATTATTGCTATAGACTGCTTTCTGTGGCCCGGCTGGGCAAAAATGGCCAGTTCTGTCTGCACCTTAAATGTGTGATGTATTAAGGCTTTGAGTTTCATTGAATAGTATAGGAAATTAACTGGACTGTCACTAAACTAAAGTCACTCAAGGTGATGGAATTAAGCAACTAGAGATTTATTCTTCTGTATTTCTAGATGCATAAAAGTGAATCCGTTGATATGAGTATGAGATACGTGTACACAACAAACGACAATAGCTGCCCAGTAGGTTAAATTCTGTTCTCAGTTATTCTGTTATAAATCCAAAGTAACTCCATCCACTGAATTTAGCAGCATTAGTCTGGACTTATAGTATAGTATGTTTGTAACTGAGAAGTGTCCAAATATGTTAGCAGTTTAAATCTGAATGCAGATTCTGAGCCACATTGTAAAAGATAAGCTCAAAGGGATGGATTCTGATCTGATTTTTACATCAGGAGAGTTTCATACCAAATTAATAGTTGTATAACTGAGATCAAATTCCAGCCCAGTGACTTTAAAAATATTTCATGAGGACAAATATATGTAATACATTTCCTCAAATACTTTAATTCACCATTTATTTATTATGCACTTAGCTGTAACCGACAAAACATAAATTTAATTTGTATGTCATTTTTGGGTTTTGTGCATGTGTGTTAATTCTTTTTAAATTGTTCAGGTTGAAATAAATCTAAAACGTTATCCAACCCCATACCCAGAAGATTTAAAGAATATGGTAAAATCAGTTCAAAATATGGTGGGCAAAACAAGTCATGGAGTACGGCCTGAAAACTCGACACCAACTACCAACCCTGAGCAAAGCATGAAAGAAAAATATGAGCACAAGTGGCCCATGGCAACAAAGGAGATTTCAGTGGAGGTAATGTTGCAGAATTGGTGTTTTATTTCAAGAGCTCAAAATGAGGTTTTAGCCTTGCTTCATCACATGACATGTAACTGGCATCACATGCTAGTCCTAGCAACATAAGCAATTATTTATGGTTTCAAGTTTTTAAAAATTATTTTTCCTTAATTATGAGACATCTATGCAGGGTTGCCAGCTGTCCATAAAGTTATGAGCGGTCATTAAAAAAACACAGGTTAAAAAAGCCTGTCCATAAAATCCATAACAATTGAGTTGTTTGTAAAAACTAAACAACAAAGAGCTTGACTGAAGCTCCACCTCTGAAAATGTCTGGATGTTGAAGGACAGATAGAGTACAGCAGTACCACCTGGTATCTGAGTTGGAGCACAGCTCCTTTCAGGGAGTATTCTTTGTAGTCCCCTTCTGTCCCAGCCATGTGCTGCCACTGCTCCTGCATTCTGTTGCCTGCCTGTAACACTAGTGAGTTGCAAGTAGACAGACAGTAGTCCTTCTTTGTGGATCTGTGCTGGGACAGGATGTCAGGGCCAGCAGGGATAAGACTGGGTGGGCAACATTTGGGGATATTGTGGTATCGTGTGGTGAATAGGGTACCACTGGCTTGCTGGTGGTATGCTTTAAAGCCATTGCTGTTATCAAACCAGGTTGCCAAGCCAAGAAAATTATTTTTACTGAGAACCAAACTTCTTTATAATGGCTGGTATTAAACTTCTAAATTTGAACCTGGCCCTCACCCAGAGCCTGGCAGAAGGGTTATATTTACACTATGTAAAACATAAGTCAGTAAAAAAGGTTGGTTTTATTTACTAAAAATTTTACAGATTATCAATTTTTAAAAAATTGTCTTGGCTTGGCAGCCTTGCATGTATGTCAGCAGAAGAATGGATTTTAAAGTAATTTATATTTCATGCATATGCACATAAATGTCATCTTTATTCAAATATTCAGTGACAAATCTGTTTTGTGGCTTTGCTATTAAGTTAGGTCAAGGTTCTGTTGCTTCCAGTGGCATAGAATAGTAACGTAGTTCAGTAAGTTACATAACATACTTACTACCTACAACCTTCTATTTATTGCCAGTGTGAATTCAAAACTTGGCCCTTGGTAAATAAATATTTATCAAGAGAGAGTTAGTTTGTACATTACAGTTCTAATGTGCAATTCTAACTTGAATATTATTGAAAGTAATTTTCTTCAGAATTTATTCTAGATATGATAGGCCTGGTTCAAAGCTGCTATAAGAAGGCTGAGCTCCTTTGACTTTAGTGGACATTTACACAATTACACAAGGACTGAATCTAACCCCTTTTTGGATCAATTAAAAGAATGAATGATAAAATAATTTTTTCATTCCAGGAGTACTTCCTGAGCATTCCATGATTAACTATGGGAGAGCTACAGAGAACACTTCGTGCACTCTTGAAATCTCTGCACAATCTGCATTTTTTTAAATAAAACATTAGAAAACAAAGTCATTTGAAGTTTATCAAGGTGTCTTTTCCATCCCCTTATAATGTAAATATTCTGATGCATTGTCCTTAAAATATACCATCCTGGTGCCAGCAGTAACTGTGTAACTATATGAATTTTTCTTTTTCAGCTGTACCAGGGCATTAATTGGACTGTTTTGACCATCCAGAGGTCCCAGTAACCATTGCTCCAATTATTGTACTGATATGTGTGTTTATATTTATAGGGTAAACTAGCCAATTGCCCAACATGAATGAGGATTTCAAATCCTCACTCCCAACCTGCAGCCCCCCACCCCCCGTCCCTGCTGTACCCCTCACTCCTGACCTGCAGCCTTCTGGTGCTGCCAGTGACCCTCATTTCCAACCCACAGTCCCCTGCCCTCATCCTGGTGCCCCACACTCCCAAGCCACAGCCCCCGCCCCCCCCAGTCCTGCTGCTGCCCCTCCCTCAATGTACTGCCCCCAGCCCTGCCAGTGGCCCTCACTCACCAAACTGCAGTACCTTGCCCCCCTAGGCCATGATGGTGCTTCTCACTCCCGACTTGCAGCCCTTCCCATCCCTGCTGGTGCCCCTCACTCCTGACCCACAACCCCCTGGTGCTGCCAGTGACCCTCATTTCCAACCCACAGTCCCCCGCCCCCATCCTAGTGCCCCACACTCCCAAGCCACAACCCCCAGCCAGCAGCAACACATAGGGGATGCACAGGGATGCATGTGCACCCCCTGAGAGTGCTGGTGCATCCCTTCACAGCAGCATTCCCCACTTAGCTGGCAGGCAGGCAGTGGGGCAGGTGAGAGTGCTGATGTCTCCCCCCTCCCCCACAGAGTACTGGCTGGGGAGTGGGGCAGCCAGGAGAAGTGCCACTGGCACTTCCGGGTGCTTCCCTGGTCCTTCCAGGCAATGTTCGCTCACAGAGCCAGCTTAGAGGGAACGCTGCTTCCAGGTTGGCATGTGCGACTGGCTATGAGGGGACCCTGCGCCACTTCTTGACTGGCTGCTGGGGGGGCAAGTGTCCCCCCGACTCAGGTGGCACCAGTCTCCCATGCCCCTGCTAAATGGAAACCAGCTCTCTTCCACCTAGTGGCCAACTGCTGCATTTGAGACACCAGAGGGCAACTGAGAGAGTTGTATGTCCTGACCCTGCTCCTGATGGTGTGCCTCACTCCTGACCCACACCCTCCCACCCTCTGTTCCTCCTGGTGCCCCTCTCTCCTGACCCACAGCCCCCTGGCACTGTCAATGTCACCAGCCCCCTGCACTCCCAACCCACAGTCCCCCTACCCCAGTGCCCCTCACTCACAACCTGCAGTCCCCTGCTTTCCCAGCCCTGCTGGGCCCATCCTACCCAGGCTGGAGCGTGGTGGCTCTGATTCATGCAGGCAGTGGCAGAGCGTGTCTGGCCCTAGCGCGGGCTGAGGGAAGAGGAGGTGAGGCTTGTGCCCCCCCCCCCCCCTATGGGATAGGGCTGCAGTGCCCTGCGGGCAGCCTGGCCACAGCCCCCTCCCCCTCTCTTCCTCCCTCCCTGGACAGTGGCTGCTCAGCCCCTCCAAGCACAGGCACCGGTGCTGCGTCCCTACCCCTTTCCCCTGCTGGAGAACAGGCAACCCTCCCCCCTGCCTTGTTGCAGCTGCAGCCCCCATACCCCTGCCCTGACCAAATGTTTGGGATTTTGCTGTGTTCCGGGGGTGGGAGCGGGGGAGGCAGTCGCAGGCAGCAGGGAACACCACATGGCTGCAGGTAGGTCCATGTATGCTCCCTGCCACCTTCCATCCTCTTCCCCTGCTCCCACCCCCAGAGCAAAGGGAAAAACCAGACATTTGGGCAGATTTAAAAAACCCACCTGGACAGAGATCAGAAGACTTTAAAAGAGCATGGACACTGTTAAAAAGAGCTTCTGTGGAGGTGGGGCGGGGGGAGCAGCTGCACCAGAGGCTGCAGGAGGAGGTAGGGTTGACAGGCAGGTTCCTGCCTCTCCTCAGCTGGCCCCACCTCTTGTAAAATGCTCGTGGGAATTTTTTCTTTTCCTCTGTGGAGGCGAGGTGTGGGGAGCCACCGTACCAGAAGCTGCAGAAGGAGGTGGCACCAGCAGATGGGTTCCTGTTTGAATTCAACCAGCCCTGACCTTGCCCACCCTGCCTGGCCCGCACAACCAATCAGTGCATGCACAGTTGGGCAAAATCATTGCAGATAGACGGACTAAAGCTTTTATTATATTAGAATATTTCTATTGCCTTTGGAATTTAATAAAAGTGAGTTTTATTTTTCTTCGCAGATATCCCTTAAGCCTTTGGAATGTTTTAGTAGATGCAGTAAAATCTGTTATCTGGCACGAGTGCAGAATGGGGGTGTCGGGTATCTAAAAATTCTGGTTACCTGAGGCCAGCTGTTTTCAGCCGGATGTGCAGCTGGGGGTGGGGGGGTGTTGGTGGCAGCCAGAGCAGTGGCAGCTTAGGGTAGACATTTTGGCCAGATACGGAGCGGCAGCAGCACAGGGTGGTGGGTGGTGGTAGGGGCCGCTGCATCAAGCTTCCCTCCTCTCTCCCCCCCACCCCCTTGCATCCAGGTGGTCATCCAGAAATCTGGTTAATAGATTATTCCAGTTAGTAAAATGCCAGATAATAGGGCTTTTACTGTACTTTGAAACAGAGTATTCAAAGTCAAGTCATTTACTGTTTTATTTTAAATCCTTAATTTTCATTATTTCTTTTGGAAATAATGGAACTATAAACTCACCAAAATTATGTAGTCACACATATGTTCCATTCTCTGGTGAGCAAAATGCATCAACGTTTGTAGAAGAAAAAATACTAATTTCTAGTCTGTCTTTTTATTGTAATGTGTATAATCTGCTGATGTATGTGGCAATAGACGTATATGTTAAAAAAAACAAACTACTTAACACACAGAAACTCTAAGAAGCAATGCTACTTTTCTGTATCTAAGCAAAACTTTTTCCTGCAACTTGATGAAGCTGTCTAAATTATTACTGTCTCTGTTTTCTGCCTTAAGTGGTTGAAAGTGGCTGAAAAGAGATTTCTTTTTATTCTTTGTCTTTGTAACAGCTGCAGGTGATTGCTTGCATTTGGATTTTAGGTCCCCTGGTACCTTGTCAAGACTAGTTACATAGCAGTCATGTTAGCAAGAGGAAAGGGAAGAGTCTGTTCTAACCGTCACCCAATTAGAGAGAAATTATACTACATGAGTATTTTACTTCAGTGATGCAGCATATTACACGTCTCTAACCTTAGTTAGCTATATTACTTTACAGTCTCCTGTCCCCATGCTACTTGTTAATCTCTGTCTGATTTCTTAAAAGGACATTTTTTAAAAGAAGCTTTTCACTGGGATAAGTTACTTATTTTATATAAAGAACCCCCAATTTCTGCCTATAGTGGTTTACATTAGTTTATATTTAGTCCCTTCCATCCATATCTACAATTTTATAACCTGAAGGAGGAAATTTTCATCATCTTCCATTCTAATGTACATCTTAAAATTATATGAGATATCTTGCCCCTTTAT